CAACCACTCTGAAGAGGAGATGTCCTTGCCCAAGAGCAGCACTGTTAATAATGCAGGGCTACCAAACATCCAGATTTTCTTAGAGGTCCATGTTTGTCTGAGATTTCATCTGGAGACTTCACCAGCTACAGCATCTCAACTCAAAAAACTTTGTTAAGGTGTAAGAAATCCTAGACATTTCTGCTTGTCCTGCACTCCTCAATGCAAATGCACTAAGTCTAGGAAACATTGGACTTTGGGCCAGACAGCTTCCTTTCAGGATGCGCATATGATGCAGGGCTGGTGCTGTCAGGCAAACAGTGCAGAAGTGGACTAAGTTAAACAATGCATACATGCCACGTGGGGCCTGCTGCAGCTCACTAGGGTTGCTAGATTATTTCCAAGATGTGCCTCACAAAAATAGGGAAGCACTGCATACAGCGTCAAAACATAAAGCAGTGCAGGATTCAGAACAAGTCTCCTCACTGCTACAAAGCCAACCAAACCACACAGCAAGGCAGTCACACCCACTTTCAATTTTAGAACATTCCCCCTTGTCCCATCAGTATTTACCTCTGTGAAAAATGTGTCTCCCTCCTATTTATAAGCTCCCTTCAAGTACTGGAAGGCCACAGTGAGGTCTCCCAGAAGCCTTCTCTACTCCAGCCCTGAACGAACCCTGGGCTTCTTTGTGCACACTTAAGATATATCTTACGCGTAGGAAAAGATACTCAAGGTCTCCACTAACAGTCAAAAATAAGTATTAAAAAAATTAATAAACCTATGATGACAAAGCAAGCACATGTAAGAACAGTCATTCTTCTTGACCCTTATACAATTCTTACGTATTTATAAAATTAACATCAAAATAACTATATTGTATTCTCATACGAAAGAAAAAAAAAAGACAAAGTCAATTAGTGGAAGCAAGTTTGAATAGAAGTATAAGGATTATGAAACATTTCTAACTCTAGGGCACCCCACAGCCTATTTTCGGCTTCTGGGGATAAGAAAGGTTATAACACTTCCCCCTCTATACTAAGGCTTCCTAAAGTCTGCAACTTTTATATTCACCAAAAGATCAGCAGATACGAGAAAAGGTTTCTGCTGGTGGGTTAGTATGGTTTAGAAGAAACTGGTGTTTTCAATAGAGAGTTAACATTCCTTTACTTCCTACGTGTAAATGATGCAATATTATTTACAGGTTTCATAGCAACTTCTAATTCAGCAGAACATATGAACAAAAAACATATAGAAAGGACAAAAATATATCTTGAGGTAACTTCTAATTATAAACATGGTTGATAGGGGAACAGATGTCTGTTGGTCATTGGCTTATATTCACTGACCTGAATTTACTAGATGAACTGTACCAATGATTTGCCAAGAGGCAAACAATGAATGTGTCAGAGACTCTCCTTCCTCTGTCCTGATCAGGACTAAAACACAGGGTTACAGCAAAGAAGGGATAAAAAAACCTATGAGAGAAAAAAACCATGTCTGTACAGAGCATATAGCTGAGCAGTGTTTGGGTACAGACCTGCCATGCAGCCTCATTCTTGGAAGCAGAGCTCTTTCAAGCCTCCAGAAAGAAAAATAATGCTTGGTATGAGGGAGAGTAGTAGTGGTTCTGTACAGAGGGGAGATTCTGTACAGAGATGTGTATACAGGAGCAATATACCTTGCCCATTCAGCAAGAATGAAACAAGACAGCCATTTTATCATAAGATAGATCTTTAGTTACACTTTTCACAGACTAGACTGTTGGAGAAGAAGAGGTATCTATCTGCCTTCTCCCCACTCCCTCTATCCGAGACAGCCAAGAATTGTGAACTCCACAGTTTGAAAAACGTCACCTGAAGGTACTGAAGAGGGCCCAAGGCAGAGGAAAGGAAAACAGCTTTGCGGATTAAGTGAGGTGAGCTCGTGAATTTTCTTCATAAACAGAAATGACAAGCTAGCTTGGAAAAGTAAAGTTTTGCTAAGCATACCTGACAGCAGAGGCTGACTGACCAAACAGGAGCAAATGTTCAGTGAAATGGACAGCAACAGAAAGCCAAAGTGGGGCTGTCCTCAGGTCCTAGAAACATCAACCAAGGTGGGGAAGGGAACACATGGGTCGTGCTAACAGCATGTTGGTCACGCTGTGATCCCAGCTACTGGCCTAGGAGTTTGAGTGAGATGAGGCAGCCAAGAGATACACATTCGTGATGGAAGGATGGGCTTCAGCTGCCTGGCACCAAGGTCCTTATTTCCCCATGTTCCAGATGTGAGACCCGTTCTGGTCTGGCTTTGAATGCACCAGATTTTATAAATAGAAAAAATAATGCAATAAACCCCCACTCCTGTTCAACGCTGAACATTTTAAGAATGAGCTCTGTGCTGGCTGGCGGTGCATGCACAGAAACATACAATTTAAAAAAAAAAAAATCTGAATCTTCTTGTTATTTCTGTACTGTACTCTTCCTAAATACCTAAAGGTATCTACAGTACTTTCAGAAAGTAAAAAACATCTGAACAAATACTTTTTCAAGACAAACCCTACTTGTTGCTGAACATATCCTGATCACTCAGCAAGTCACAACCAGTTTCAGCTATTCATGAGGAGTAAAAAAATACTTTTCCAAGTTGCCATGAATTTTTAATTAACAATTAATGTGATATCATTTCTTATTTGAAATGTTAAGTTTAAACTTTGATAATCCTCTGTAGATTCTGAAAGAAGCAACTGTAACATTTTGCAAACCAGATTGTTTAGGAAAGTTGTTAATGTGCTGTCAAGAGTACTCCCTTGCAAATCAATGGATGTGGACACAGTGCTGATTCCTGTGTACTGTGTTTTACATACCAGCACCCCCTCCCAAAACAGCTACTGCACAGACCGTGCTCTAAACTACACAAAATACATCAGGGACTTGTCAGCCTCTGGAAGAGCTTGGGCTGGGGAAAAGCAGAAGGGTCGTTTAAAATTACTTCTTTCAACCATCTGGGTTGCAGATCTTCTGTTATGCCACAGATCTCTGTTCAGAATTTCAGCTTATATGGCTTACCCTGTCTTACATAGGAAGCCTGCTGCAAAGCTGGAACTGGACCCAGAGGCCCAGACTTCACACTTAATTCCCTAACTGTAGCAACAACCTTCTTTGAAACAAATGACAAAATGAGAATCTCTTTAAGTTTCTGTGTGGGTTTTTTCAATTTGTATGCATGCCTTTGTTTGTCTGATGAATTGAAATCCTCCCATTAATCAAGAAAATTAAAAGGTTTCCTGGAAGTTTATCCTCAGCAGACTTTGAATTGAAATTGTAGGTTTTCTGATTAGAGAAATAATGAGTTTTGCTGAGGAAATAATGAGCTTCGTTTTAATAAAATCTTTTCTGCAAAATTGATTTAGACATATATTTAATTTCTCACTCAAAATGTTTTTTTCAGTGAAGCTATGGCTCTTAGGTTAACCAGAGCGTTTCTGCAGGAAGTCTCACTCCCAGAGTAAGGAAACACAAGCTGTAGAAGTATTCTCAGCTGCAGTGCACAATAGTTCAAGCTCCTCTTTAAATAAAAAACAATAAATACCTAAGATAAGAAAACAGGATTATTTCACTCTCTCTTTTCCTTCATCGTGATCTTCTTTATACCTTGCCTGAGGCTATCTTGTCAGTTTCAGCTTTTTGATTCCCCCGTGAAACAGGCACTCACACTAAATATAATCTTTCTCATAGATATTTCCAACAGCTTCAGGGAGCCAGGCTTGCACTTATTTATCTACGAGACATGTTTATATTCTGTCTAAGTAGGCGTGAATATTTCAGAATTTGCTTTAATAGGATTTTCTGAGTTTCCTGCTTCCAAGATTAGGGATGATTGTGCCGTAGAGAGAAGGCACTTATCCTACCACAGACCCCAAGCCCACAAAGACTTCAGGCACAAGAATGCAACCAATTTGGTACAAGTAGCTGCATGCTGTGATTTATGGGTGTACTCAAGTCCTGCATGGATGCTCTGAACGCTTTGTTAAGCAGGAACATAACAGCTAACTTAAAGCTGCATAAACTGCCAACAACCAGGCTTGACCACAAGGAACTGAAGAGAACCAGAGCCTACGCCTTCACTTTCCAATATGGGAGGGAGGTATGATGTGAAGTCAAAAAGCCAAGTAGGAGGAACTACTGCAAATAGACAGAGCTAGTCTCTTCAATTTCTCATGTAGAGGAGAAGAAAGGCTTGTTACCTACAGAGAGCTAAGTATCCTCTAGTGAGTGTAGGAGAAGGAAGGAAAGGGAGAAGGAACAGAAAGGTCTGCCTCCAGAAATACAAACTGCCAGTCAACTCACTATCTTGCTTTCTTTTAATTTAAAAGCCTAAAATAACCTTGTAAAATACAAAAAGTTCAAGTCCCCTAGTGAAACACTGCAAACGAAGATAAGAAAAAAAGGATATAAAGCACAGATAATAAGAGAGAAATAAATCCAAGATAAAAGGACATAAATAAGAAAAAAAGAATAGAAGTATTCTTTTCTCACTATAGAAAAACTTAACCAAAAACAAGAAAACAATAACAGTGCGGTTTCTAGTCACTAATAAACCTTCTCTACAGTATTTGGTGGATTGAAGTGATCAGTGTTGGTCTCCTCAAGTGTTCACAAGAACATGGAATAAAACAGCAAAAGAAGGACAGCTTTTGTACAATAACTGTGAAACTTGCATTATATAAGCCTTCTCTAAGATTTCTTGACCCGCTTCTACAAGGCAAATAATGAAGTACGAATACACATAATTCTCTTGTAAGGCAAAGGGCAGCATTTAACAATAGCATCAGCCAGCTGGTTGGGAATGTTGACCTTTGTGGTAGGAAAAAATTACTGAGAATTTGTCAAAACCCAATCAAACACAGATTTATGGATGTAACAAAAGAGAACACTGTCCTTTTGGAAAGCGAATCAGCATTTTTTTCTTGTTGCTTTTACACAGCACATACACAGAAGTAGTTACGCTTGTATTACTTAAGTATAATCCAGTTTTACCTGGCAAGTCCATATCGATGTGATAATGAATCCATCATCTCTGAAGACATTGAATATTTCAATGATCCCCCTTGAATAACCAAACACAGAGATACTGGCATCTGATATAGCCAAGTTAAATGTAAGGTAGTCAGTGGGCTGCAGAAGATGCCTCTGTTTATACAGGACAAAAATCACAACGCTGTTTCCAAACCAAGACATCCAACCTGAAAAACAAACAAACAAACAACACTTTGAAGTCAAATGCGAACAAGCATCAGTTCAAGCTGTAAATGTATGATTTCACTCCTAACTATCCTTTAGTTCAATTAGAAATGAATTGGAACACTTTATTTCAACCATTGGGAAACTTATGTGTGAAGCACTTTTAAGTGGCTAGATGTACTGCAAAAGCAAGAATAAGTGAATAACTGGCAATCAAATGGAATGAACAGAAAATGCTGCTGCTCTGTTTGTCAAAGAATCACCACTTTCAGCAGCTGCTATCTGAGAGCACTGGTACTGTATGCTGACGTAGCAAGATGCAAATACACATACTGAAGGAGAATGTAACTTGATGTGTCATTGCATAACAACTCTGGGTATTCCAAGAACATTCAGAACTCTTTTAAGAAGCATAATATGTCTGCATGATGGTAACACAGCGTTTCTCTGCTGGGCTCCATATGTCCAGGCCACCTGTGAGCGTCACAAGCTAAAAAATCAGAGAGCAAAGCACGAAGGCAGTGAGGTTACCTACATGGATCCCAGTGAGGTGGTCCTGAGTCTGCAGTGGCAGAGACAGACTTGGTACTGCACTGTGAACAGCTTTTCTGCAGACTCATTTCCTTCCTAATAACTTCTCTTTGCAGAATTGCCAAAAAACCACTTGCTTAGCAAACACGTCTGGTTCACTAAAGAGCTTTTGAATTGGGAAGAGCTGATGTGTCAGTATATGGCATTAACCAGAAGTAGACACTGATGCAATGATACTTCTGTGTGTATACACACACACACAGACACACACACTTATGTATAGATATATATAATTATAAGATCAACAACAGTAAATACATCTTATTCTGGCCACTAGGTGACAATGTTTCTTAATGGAGCCTCATTTCCAACAGCAGAATGCAGCTCAAGTTGGGAATTGTTTCTAACATTTTTCCGAGTCTTGGTATCATTAACCGGCATAGAAAGGCAAGGGAGGACAAACTGCTTTGGGAACACAATTTGCAGTGCAGCCATGATAGCTGTGCTGTTTGCGTGTGTCAGCTCCACATCGTCTAAGGTAAGATGGTTTTCAAAACGTTTTCAAGATGGGGATGGGGTTGGTTTTCAAGATGGGGAAATATTTTCCCTGTCAGTAGTAAGGCATGGCACTAAAATGGCAGACAAAAGTTCACCTCCTTCAAAAACAGTACAATTTTATCAATATGATGGAATTGACAGGAAGGCTGTCCTTGAAATTCCCCCTAGCCTGGAGGGCATGGAAGCTTTCATTTCAAGGATCTTAAGGAAGAGACTGAGCAAAAAGTGATGCAAAACAACAATACAGCTAAGGCAGATGTCAGAGACAAGATTGTGATCACTTCTGAAACTATGTTCAGACACTGATGGTGTAAAGACACAGCATTGGGCATTGCACTCTGGATGAGAGACAGAGTTTCCTCAGCTGCTCTACAGGCAGAAGGTGCCTCGGGGCAGGCTGCAGGCAAATCCAGATTCCAGAAAGAGAACTGTGAACGCTGAAGTGCTAGGAGGAGTGGTGTCACCAGATGGACTCTCAGTAACATGGGGGATGGAAGAGAGTAAGTTGAGAGAACCCACTCTGCCTTCTACAGGATACCAGCAATATTCTCTCACAAAAGGAGATGAAAAAATAAAATCAAAACACCAAAACCCAGGCCCAGAACTCAGGCAATCCTGGTGAGAAAGGGCAGGTTCTGGTGGAGACCTGTAAGTGGCTGAGAGAGAAATGGTAGGATGAAACTGAGCACTTCACCCCAAACAAAGTTTAGAGTGGAGCCAGTGCAATTCCTCCGTAAGATGTAATGCTGTCTTGATCTGGGCTCATCAATGAGGAATGATGGCAATTCTGAAGTGGCATACAACAAAATTACTGACACTCTTTAACACAGGACAGGACTGTGAGCTGCTGCCGTGAGATGAGCAATATCAGAGCAGAACAACTAAATGAGTGCTGACAGTCACTGAATATTGAACAGCTACGGGGTCACCTTTACTCCTCAGGACAGAACTGAGTAGAGCTTTTCTCAAGCCACACTAGTACAGTTGGTACTCACACTTGCAAACATTGGGACGTAGGAGGAACAGGACGGGAAGCAATATTAAAAAACAGTGTTTTGTCTTTATAGAATTCTGCAGTAATGTTTCTCCTGGAATAATACAGCCTGGGAGGTTTTAGTCCATGGATGTCAACAGTCTCCACACAAAGGGGTTGGTTCTGTTTCCCATGACTTGCAGAGCAGGAACAGCAGGGATGCTCAGCAAGTGATGGAAGTCAGGAACCAAAACTCTATGAGCAAAACCCCGTGTCAACTCACTGTCTGCCAGCCAGTGCAAAAAGTGCACGCAGAAAGCTGACTGAAAGATTGGCTGAGGAAACCAAAAACTTCTCTCTTGAAAGAAACAGAAAACAGCAACATGTTTAGCTGGGAAAAACGCTAAGGGAGAATGCGGGAAAAAAAAAGATTCCTGCTTGAATTCCATCCAAGCCTGAGCATGCAGCCATACCCTCTATTCCCTCTAAGTGCATGAGGACTGTGAACAACACTGTCTGTGTTGCATTTATGCTTTTGCATAGTTAAGTTTGGTAGAAGGGAAGCTGTACTGTATAACTACCTGTACACGACCATAAATGTCTGTCTGGAGGGGTCTGCTATAAAGTTTTCTAGTCTAAAACAGTGGGAAAATGTACAGTTTATAAAGCTGTCATTATCTACTTAACTGTGAAATGATTTTGCTCTGCTTTTAATCGTCACCACTAATTATACAGATACAATATTGTACCCAGGGCACATTGAGAATTTTGGCAGAAGAGTCATCATGTTTTAAACTTGACAAGGCATGGAGAGATTATTTGTTCAATAAATGTGATCATTTTGTGGATGAATGCTTTGTGAATGACTTGTTTCCTTTCCCACCTTTTCAGATTCAGTTGTCAAGTAACATTCCAAAATAACACTCATCCTGTCACCTGTCAAACAGTATTCTGTCACCATTCAGAAATATGTGCCATTTAAAGACAAGTCTGGGCCTTGTGGTTTGTTCCAGTTTTCAGATCAGGTTGGTAATGCCCTCAGCATGCCTTTGTGATAAGAGTACTCACAGAAAGTCAGAATTTGCTCTCTATCAAATATTCTGTCATACTCACTTGACATTTCCTGTTATGTCAATCATTCATTCTAACAACCCCAGTTAATTGTGAAACTAGGGAAAATGAGCACAGAACAAGTTGTATATAAAAGTAGAAAATAACAATTAGTTTTAGAATTCTAATTAATATTTAAGGAAAAAAAAACACCCTTTCCTTATTTTTCCTCCAGGTATGGGAACGAATGACAGAAAGTACAACAGAAGGATCCACAGCAGTCAAGAACCAATACCACAAGACCTACAGAGGTTGATTAATTTATGACATCAGCACTGCTGTCTGACAGAAATGTGTAGAGGATATGAAGCTGGTTACAAAGGACCATAAACTTCAGGAAGTAAAGTAGATGAAATTCAAACTGTTTACAAAATTTAGAATATTTTGGAATTAAATTTCTTTTAGTTGTAACTCATATTTGTCCATTTTCAAAGCCAGGTCATGCCTGGACAAGTGTTTTGGGACTACGATGTATAAAGCATAAATTGTAATGTAACGTAAAAAAACGGTTTTTTTTGCTTTTTTTTAAAATTTTTTTAATTTTACCTAGCTACTGACAGTAGAACTGTGGACTCTGTCTCCATTAATAGAAAAAAAAAAAAAAAAAAATAAAAAGGAATGAAATGTGTATGCAAACAACTCTTGAAAGGCAGGGAAGAGACAATACACTGAATTCCAACATCATAAGCTGGGACAAGTTTTACTGTAAGTACTAACGTTACTGCCAAAATTTGTTATTTGTTTGTGTACATTTCAAATGTCTAATCCTGGAAAACAAACTTTTAGCAGGATTACAAAGGAAATTTCCCCTCAGTATTTTTCTGCTATGGATTATTTGCTCTGTCCCTCTTCAAAGATTTTTCTTGGCAGCAATGCTACAGAGTCCTTTGGAAGACTCTGTGGTGGCTCTTACAGCACACGCAATTGGAAACTTATAAGCTTTTCTTACTGGCCTTGAGATCCCATTTACAGAGTCTTTAATTACGGAGTTATTTATATTTCATACAGAGTTATTGCATGTCCTTAAGCCAACTTCTGTAGGGAAGATGAAGAGTTGGTTATAAAATGATTGTGTGATAATAAGCATTTCTGAACAGTAGCTTACACCCTACAAATATTTTTCCAAACAAATCAGTGTAGAAGTAGCAAGCTAGCTTCAATAAAATTTCTGTATGTTATTGTATAGGATTTTTTTTTTTTTTTTTAACTCAAAGAGGTGAGGAGTAAAAATATACTGCAAATGGATCTGAGCACGCATGATACATGCATGGAAGTTAATAATGCATTTCCTCTGTGATCAGCCTCAGAACAAAGTTTGTGTTCATGAGAGGTTTGGTGTAGCCTGAAGGAGCTCTAGCAGCCATGGCATTGCTAGTGAAAGCTGAAAAGAACTATCAGCAACAGAAGATGACTGGATAGCATACAGAAGTAATAAGGGGACTTCAAAGAGTGAAGTAATAAGGTATTAATGAAATTTAACTGTGCAGTGTAAAAGTTCAGGCACTTAGGTACTTTAAAATGTATTTGCTACAAGATGTGAGGTCAGCATCAGGGGCAGCAGAGGAAAACACCTCTGTTGGTCAATTGATGGAAGAAATGTCTGTTGGTCAATTGATGGAAGAAATGTGCACTACCAGTGTGATGCACAGGCAGCACCAGCAGGGGTTAGCAGAGCTAGAGGTGCTAACATTAATGAATGGTGATAGTGAGACCTGGTTTGAGTCCTAGTGCGTGATCAAAGAGTGAATCCAGATTAGAACAGCAAAAAGCTTCTAGGGTGATGGACTAGGATGACAGAGGAAACACACTGCAATAGGAGATAAAGAGAACTATCTTGATGAACAGGAATACAAGTTTGACTGTGAGATAACCTGTATAGGAATATAGAGTGGCTGTAGGCGATAACTGCAGGCAACAAAAGTAATTTATTTGAAAGGAGGGACAAAAAGGATAAAGTTGATGTGGTCACTTTAGCTAATGATTTAAGAAAAGGTTCCTGTGCAGCAGAGGAACCAAGTCAGGAGCAAACTGTCAATTGAAAGAGTGATAGCAACAACAACAAAACGCCTTAGCCAGTTATATGAGGAGGCATGATAGCTTTGTAAATGGATTATATGTTGTCACAGCAGGGGAATGACCTTACTGACCCACCATGTTCTTTCTAGTCTTAAATTCAGCTGATTAATTCATTAACTAATGGTGCAGCCATTTGTGAGGGGTTGCATGCATGTGAACAGATTGGGGATAAATTGGGACAACTCTGCTTTACCTTACAAACTGTTCCAATTGAGCTTATAATTAAGATAGAAGTCTTTTTTTTTTTTTTTTTTTTAAAGGACCTCTAGTTTATTCCAAATACTACTTCCCTCCACCCCTGCTTCCTACCAATAAAAAAACAAGGTCTCATATAAACATATTAAAATACTTAACATTTTACATTGTAACATCCACAGATCTTTTTCAAGCATTAGCTGAAGGTAATAAGCTTCTTGCAACGTGTGATAAGCTTAGAAAAGCAAAAAAAAAATCTACTTATGTCAGTCATTCAAGAAGAAACATTTTTGAAAGTGCAGTTTAGAACAACTGATGTCATAAATTATTATTTTTGTATTTTCCCGTGAGGATGTATAATTGGAAATTGATTACCTATCAAACCTGCATTCTTTAATGTTTTCTAATATTTGCTTATATCCTGCATTGAGTCTGTCCCAAGTAGACAGCATTTAAACAGAATGCAAAGTTGTGCTGGGATCAAAGTGAGTTCATACTGGGTTCCATTTTCAAATCCTTACTATACCCATACAGTGTTGTCATGCAGGAGAACCAAAATGGTGCTGAAACTGCTAACAGGGGGCAATGACCTGTATTCCTTAGACCTGCCAGAGATCCTGTTTGAGGGACTAATTATTATGGGCATCAAACACTTAAAGTAAAAACAGTAGAAATATTTTAAAAATTCAAAAACCTGTAGGGCTCTATTTTCTGCCTCTGCAAGAAGCACTTTAGATTGCCAACTGACTGGCACCAGTCAAAATTCTGGAAATCAAAGGACATTAACTCAGTGTCTTCTCATGTCTTAGTAGCAAAGAAGCATTACGTACATCTGAGAGAGTACTTTCCCTTTTTGAAAATCTTCCTACTTGTTAAATTCAGAAAACAGTAGTAAAGTCTACAAGCTTGTTTTTTTTCTTCTTGAAAATTCTGCATTGGTTATTAATGTGTTAGCAAAATAAGGCCGTACCTCTTTGATCTTATAATAATGGAAGAAAAATGCTGCACTTCATAACATTCTGTTCTGTTACAGATGAAGGACAAATGACTCACTTCAAGCTTTATACCAAACTCTACCAAGAGTTTAATTTCACTAGCAAAGCCAAGACAGAGTACATACCTAAAGCCAGTAGGTAGAAGCCTATAATGGTCTCTCCTTGTTCTGTGATGGCAGCTTCCCTGCTCAGAAAACTGATGTTGTTGTTCCTCCAGGGTGCCTGTGGAGACAACTGGAGAGACATTTTCAGCAAAGCTTATGACCCAGAGCTTGCCTTTTCCCTGGTATGTCCCAAATGCCAGGAAAAATAGAATAAATCCAGCCTTTTCTTCTGTTTCTGCTCAGACTATTCAGCGAAGTTCTTCAACGAGACTAATAACCTAAAGAAGGAAATTGCAAGGGACAGGAGCTTTGTAGCCTTCCAACCTGTTCTTATTCACTAATCCTATCTCTTAGTACAGGCTGTGAAGCCTGTGACCAGTGAGGGCAGCAGATTTCCTCACATCCTTATTACTGCTGCTTACAGAAATCTTGAATGAAGAGTGTGTGTCTGACAAAAGACGACCACACAACCTACAGGTTTACATACACACCAACAAGTGTGGTGCATATCGATATATCAGTGAAATGCCATTACTTTTGCCTTTTTGTCTTCACTGAATTCCCTTAGAATTTAGTTCTAAGAATTAAGTAAGATGTAAGAATGAAAGAAATGATATTTGGAGGAAAAATATCCCACAGAGGTTTAAAAAAAAAAAAAAAAGTGACCTCTACTGGAAAACGGCTTAAGAACCACATATCTTCTTTTTACATTATTAAGAAGCTGCCAATTTTGAGCATTCCAAGTACAGTTGGATTTTTCCCCCACTGTTGAAAAATGAGGTGTTGTCTTCTTGACATGTTGCATGTGCTTTAAGTAAGTCAGCTCAGAGTACATTTAGTCTTTAATCACAGAATGATTTGGGTTGGAAGAGAACTCAAAGCCCACCCAGTCCCAGTCCTCTGCTGTGGGCAGGGCTGTCACCCAGCAGCTCAGGCTGCCCAGGGCTGCATTCAAACCAGCCTTGAATGCCTCCAGGGATGGGGCATCCACAGCTTCTATGGTCAGTCTGTTCTATTTTGCACTTTTCTTTATAATTCCTATAAAATAAAATAATCATCCATATCCAACAAGACAGCACATAGCCTGGAAAACAATAATCTTGTCATGATGATTCATGGCTATGGACTTTGTTGATTATAGTAAGAAAACACATTTCGTATCAGTAGGAGATGATCTTCCAAAATCAGATGGTGTTCGTTCACTGCTTCCAAGAAAGTAGACATACTGAAATGATTTATGCAGAGTTCTGTCTAACAGTCACCCTAGTCTCCCACAAACACTGGACATTGGATGAGGCCAGTAATGCTTAAAACACATCAACAGATAAATGGGAATAACTGTGCTAGTCGCATGCTGCTTGCATTGCCTAATTTTAAGAAAGCGGGCCTGCGTGCTCCTATGCTGCAATGTTGTAACTTTATCATTTAATTCTATGCTCTATACAGAGGAGCCACTTGCAGTTCCTATCTGTACAAAAGGTATGGTTTTATCATAATTGCAAAAGCAAGTAAAACAAATCAGGAAATAGTAACTAGTCATAATAAAATAAAGCAAACAAACAAACAAAAAAAACAAAAGCAAACACAAACAATCCAAATCTGCTGTCAGAGCTAAGCCAGGTAAAAGGCTGTTCGAGATAGGCCAAGGTGCAACAGCAGTGGTGACAAGTGTATTTATGGAGCAACTGGCTACAGGCAACAGTACGATTAGTACTGCATTGGCTTCAGTGAAGTTTTATTCACTCACATCATCGAGCATCCATTACCAGAACAAAGCAAACATTCACCTATGCCTCTTGCATAGTGTAAAACTACACATAGGTTTATTTTGATCGTGGTGAGGAAGGTGCGAGTCTCCTTTTTAAAATGGTTTTTCTTCTCTCATTCAGCTCCAACATTCAAACTACGGAAGAAACGCACCATTCTATTTTAGTGTGTTCAGGTGAGATTATGTTCAGGAAGGAAAAAAAAGCAAACCCCAAGACACCATACCTTCATTTGTTGTCTGCCATCATGTCAGAGAAGAGGATTCTTTTTTCACTCCTTATACTGACTTTGTGCTTGCTTGGAATAAGACCCCCAGAATTTACTAGTAAGCATCACACCCCACAGCTTCCCATTCAAACCTCAGAAATGTTGGGCTCCTAAAACTTTCATTCAGATTGATGAGCTTTCCACGTACTTAGCCACAATTGGAATTTAATCCCAGATTAAAAGAATACCATGCAGGAGGAGGAAATCACTGAAAATTTAAATAACTTTAATCTAATTTAGGTTTCCTTCAGCTGATATCACATAATCACTTACAGATGCCAGTTGCTACTATAAACTATATATTATATACTATATATACTATGTACTGAGTACAGTGAAGTCTTTAATAGTATACTTCAGTAGATGTGGAAGCAGATAATAGAAGCCTGTTATAACAATAATGAGCCTGGGAGACTAGCAGAGAAGCCCTACACAAGGTGGCTTCTTATGCTCTTACCTTTGCCAAATTTCTCATAATAGAGTTTATTTATTTCTCTGTATTCAGAAATCTGAAATAACACATCCTCTCAGGAAGCTGAAGCGTAAAACTGCTTTTTCTTCTGGCACCTAGTTCATGCGCCTGCACCCACCATGAACCAACTGGTCTAATAGAGATTTCCAGGGTAGCAAGAACCACTCCTTCCAATGAGACTAAAACTTGGAAAACATCTAGCAAATCTCATCTGAAAACAGCTATAAGTGGTCAGAGAGCCACCTGTAAGCCATATAACAAGATTTAAGTCTGAAGTATAAAGTTGTTAATGGAGAATCACTTTTCCCTAATTTCTCTGCGTTGTTCCTTCCCATCATATATTAACCATTTGCTTTTCTGTCATGCCAGGTCTCACCTCTTACAGAAAGTTTAGCGACTGCTAATATTTTTAATGTCTAAACTCAGAAAAAAAAGAAAAACTGTAAACTCCTTCCTATCACATGAATTACTTTACTATGGGACAGCACTTTTTCAGATTCATAGGCTACTCCTTCTGCTTTCCAGCTGGCACAGCTGCCCTCTTGCCAAGATCTGTGGCTTTCCTGCCACTCCTTGCACCATTATGGTTAAAATTTGTTTTCATGGTGATTCAGGTGGATAAATCATGATTAAATTACTTTTGAATAAACTGAGGCTAAGTGCACCTGCCTCTCTGGCCACAATAATGAGCACTGTCCAAAGCCTCAAATTAGCAGTCTGCTAATTACAAACATGATTTCAGCCACCCACACCTGTGTGTTGTTTTGCAGGAATTGATTTTCGCCTGGCAGGATAACTGCATGTTGTGTAGGGAGGCAAGACCACAAAATATTATCTCAAAGATAACAAACCAGAAAAGTTCAGTCATGTCTCTGACTGCAGACAGCGGGCAGCATTCAATTAGCAGGCCTCAAGAAAGCAAGTAGAGAACACCTGTAGTTTTATGCTTCAGATCGTAAGGCAGCCTTTAACTTATGCAACCCACCACAGGTAGGCTATTTCCATCTTTAGCTGCTGAAGGTGTGCTACAAGGAGCAACAACCACAATCCTCCTGAGAATGCAATCAGTAAAACACCAGTGGGCAGACACACCACTGCAAGCAAAACACAAAGGACCAGCTTCCCAGCTGACAACAACACACTGCCACCAACTGTGAGGAACCCTCTTGCACAGCTAGGCATTCACAAAGTGCTGGTGGTTTCTCTGGGAAGACAAAAAGCCTGATACCTGTCCTGTCTGCCACTGTGGAAATTAAGATGTGAACAATTACCTCATTCATGTACGACTTAATAATTGAAACAAAGCAGGATGACGGTTTACCCCTCATGGTAAAGGGGGATCCTAGGCAGGATGCAGCTGGAGTCATGCTAGCAGGAGGAAGAGGAACTTTGGAGAAATTGCCATGGTAGCAATTAATTCTGATCACAGTGGTCTTTCATAATTTCATTCTTCTTTCCCCAGACATTGCATCTCACAAAGCATGAGAATGGAAGATAATTTCTGTAAGTATGACTAAGATACTTTAACATTTTGCACAGGAGGTTTAACGAAATACCACCGGAAATACATACCAAGTATGCATTTCTTTTTCTTAAAATAGATTTTTTTTTTTTTTTAAATTCATATGAAGACTTTAAACTGAAAAACTACTTTTTTAATCACAGAATCATAGAATGGCTTAGGTTGGAGGGGACCTTAAAGATCATCCAATTGCAACCCCCTGACATTGGCAGAGCTGCTGCCCACCAGCTCAGCTGTCCAGGGCCCATCCAACCCAGCTTTGCGCACCTCTAGGGATGGGGCATCACAGCTTCTCCAGGCAGCAGTGTCAGTGCTTCACTGCCCACTGAGTGGAAAATTTCTACCTAAAATCTAACTTAAATCTCCCCTCTTTTAGTTTAAAGCCATTTCCCCTTTTTCTATCACTATCAATCCACTTAATAAGTCAGTCTCCCTCCTGATTTTATGCTTCCTGTAAGTATCAGAAGGCCACAATGAGGTTCACCCCTGAGCCTTGTCTTCTCCAAGCTGAACAAACCCAACTCCCTCAACCTCAGTTCCTCTGAGCATCTCTGTAGCTCTCATCTGCACCTACCCCGAGTGCTCCACCTCCATCCTGTACGTGGAAACCCAGGCCTGGAGATATTACTACAGATGGGACCGCAGGAGGGCAGAGCAGAGAGGGACAATCACATTACCCCTCCTGATGCAGTCCAGAATACTGTTGGCCTTCTGAGTTGCAAGTGTACACACAAGAGTGTCACTGGGAATTTGTAATAACTCCTGTCATAACTCATTACACTGTAACCAATAAAAAGGAAGTTATTATTTAGCAATTCCCAAGGTCAGCATTAAAAACGAGTCAAAACAAGTCAATTATTCCCCAGCTCTGTAAAAAAAAAAAGAAAAGCTTTCTCAGCATTTAATAGTGCCAAATGAGAGTTAGTAACACATTTTCTTAACTTCTTCAACTCTTTAATTAATGGTACACGCAGGGAGGGTTATCACTGTACCTGGCTGTGTCCTTCCCCATCATGTTGGGAAGACACATGCCATCATGTTAGTGATCTTACAGGTGTCATTTCTGTACACAGCAGCTGGAGATGCAGCCTTTCTCATGGTAAGCACTGATGCA